TGGACAGAAAATCTGAGTGGGATATGATGTAGAAGAAGAGCCACCTTTTTTTTTTTCCCCCAAACTAGTCGCTTTCTTTGATATGTGATTATTATCAGACAGCTAATGCAAAAAGTAAAATAAAATAAAATAAAAAATTAATTCAGTTGGTGATAATTATAAAGAGTAACTTTTTTAAAACTATACATATACATATATATATATATACTAGTTTTGGCCCATGCAATGCATGGGTTGTCTTATTTTTGAGGTTATATCAGCATATGGAAAAGGTGGTTTAAGATTGTTTCTGCTGCATATCCTAGTTGAAGCTGCACAAAAGTAACAATTATAAAGTAAATATAAGATCATCGAAAAACATCACTAAAATAATCAAGAAAGGAATGATGAAAATATTAGAGGCAAGAAGTTCAATATGAAGCATGTGGAAAAAAATCGGGCAAGGAATTAAAAAGAACTGGAAAGTGAAAATTATCATTTAACATTCATTCAAGATTCAGTGATTGTTTGATTGGCCAAAAAAAACAAAAACATTTTCAGAAATATATATTTCTTCCTATTCAAAGTTCTATATGAAATCAAATCAACCATATTGAGCAATTTCTAATGCCTGCTATTGATAGAAAATGCAAAATGAAGAAATAAGAACCCAACAGGAAAAAAATTAGGCATCTCCTACACGAGATATAAAACTTCAGATGGGCATAAACATTTGAATCTCGTCCAAACTGTAAATTTGCAACTCATTTTGACGATGCAATTAAATATTTTGAAATTAATGAACTTGCAATTTAAACGTTTGGAAGCCATTCAGTTTAACATCCACCATTAGATTCAATATATAAATGAACATACAACGGTGAATAAAAACACAGAAATAGGCTAGCTAACCTCTTTTCTATCTCCACTATTATAACAATTAGCCACGGGATTAGGATCCAAACCCAATGTCTCAAAACAAGTTTCCCGTTGAGTATAGTTCCCTTGGTAGCAGTTTACGTTTATAGACGCATATGATAACAATGCATAAATAGATCTCCGACAATATAAGCAGATGGAGCACTAAACATATGCTAGTGGACATCATCAGACTCATCAGACCTGCAAGAAAATGCATCAGAAGCTTTGAAAATGTAATCTAATCATACCCTGACTTTTGCATTTTTGAAAGCTGCTTTATAATGTATTCAAAGGACTCCTCAATAATATCATAGCATGACAAGAGGCTAAGTCCAGCGAGAAATTCTTCAGTCTGTTTTGCAGGTGAAAACAAAAAACACCGGTGTAAGAATAAATTCAAGCGTGAAACATGTGCCATAGGTTAATTAATGTTTGTGGATGTTACCGATTGATAAGCAAACAAAAAAGACATTGAAGGGATACACCAACAAAATGCTCATATATACAAAAAGAGAACTATTAATGAAGGATTTTCGTTGTTAAATAGGAACCAGATCCGTGTGCAGTACTCGAGCCGATTGACTGAGCATTACCATCCATATCACAATCTTGTTCGAGTAGAATCAGATATCAATAAAAATTCAAAGTTTGTTTACTATATGATGGAGATCTCTAGAAAGAAACAGAAGAAGAGAGCTGAAGGGGAAATTTTAATGTAAATCAATAGTCTCCGAAATTGAAAAATCCTACCTTCAAATTTAACTTAATAACAACACTGTGAGCTATGGACTTAACTGTATCAACTTTGAAATGTTACATCATTGGAAATCTTTTTTCCCAGAGTCAGTGAGATAGAGAGAAATGGATGAGCATCATTTCACAGTCATACACTTCAAATTTTGAACTCTTGAGAATTGGTCAATCAAACACCTAATAATGTGTATATATATATATATA